TTTCCTTCCCGCCTTTTTCCTTTCCCGCCTTTTTCCTTTCCCGCCTTTTTCCTTTCCTGCCTTTTTTCGTTCCCGCCCTTTTTCCTTCCCGCCGTTTTTCTTTCCCACCTTTTTCCTTTCCCGCCTTTTCCCACTCTTTTTCCTTCCCACCCTTTTTCCTTCCCGCCTTTTTCTTTCCCGCCCTTTTTCCTTCCCGCCTTTTTCCTTCCCGCCTTTTTCCTTCCCGCCTTTTTCATTTCCCGCCTTTTTCCTTCCCGCCTTTTTCCTTCCCGCCTTTTTCCTTTCCCACCCTTTTTCTTTCCTGCCCCTTTGCTTTCCTGCCCTTTTTTCCTTCTCACCCTTTCCCGCTCTTTTTCTTTCCTGCCTTTTTTTCCTTTCCCACCTTTTTTCCTTTCCCATCCTTTTTCTTCCTCCCTTTTTCCTCTCCACCCTTTTCCTTTCCCACCCTTTTTTCTCTTCCCACCTTTTTCCTTTCCCGCCCTTTCCTTTCCCACCTTTTCCCACCCTTTTCCCCACAGCTTCCCTGGAAAACCTTCGCCTCAATTTCCTAGGAATATCCCCAAACCTTTAAAAACCCTTTGGGATTGAACAGGAAAGAGGCTGGAATTGGGAATTTTTGGGTGAGCTCATGGCAGGATTGGGATATCCCGATATTCCAACCCCTGGGGAAAAGCTGGAATGGGTGGGAATGGGAACAGCCGGGGCTCCTCGGGAATATTTTTGCCGAGCGTTTCCTGATCTTTGAAGCCTCCGGATAAAATTCCAGCGGGAGCGAGGGGAACGCGGCCTCTGGAGCGTGAGGAGAGGGAAGGAACGGGAAAGGACTCAGAATTCCATGGATTTATGGGCGGCCGAACATTCCCCAGCTCAGAGCTCCGGCAGAAATTCCAGCGGCTCTTCCCAGTTTTTATGGAATTTACAGAGCAGGGAATTCCTGGGAGTATCCCAATGTTTTAATGGACTTAAAGCAGGGAATGAAAAGGGAATGAAATCGGGATTTTAGGGATGATCACTGTCGGTTTTCCCTTGAAAAAATTGGGAATATTTCCCTTCTCCTTGGAGCAGGAGTGGAATCTGAACAATTCCAGCCCCTGCCTTGTTTTCTGGGAATGTTTTCCTTAGGGAGCTGCAGGCTGGACATTCCTGGGAAGTTTCTGCTGGATTTTGGAGCCTCAACCTGGAATTTTCTGTGTTTTTTCTGGGAATTTGGGTGTCTAGCAAAAGAAAAAGCGGCATCAGGCTGAGGGGGTGAAGGAAAAGGAGCAGGAAAAAACCTTGGATGGGAAGGAGTGGGAATATGGGCCTGGAAAAATCCACTTCCAGCTCCATCTCTCCCAGCCGGGATTTTGGGAATTTTTCCGATGGATGATGAGGAGAGGGCGGGCTTTGAACCGCCTGGATCCTGGGAAAGTGTGGATGGCTTTGAGGAGGGAATAACGGGCTGGATTTGGGATTAAGGGATTTCCGCGTCTGTGGGGATTTCCTTGGATATTTTCCCTCTCCCGATCCAGGGAATTGGGAGAAACTCACCTTTCCCTCTTTCCAGGCTGTTGACGGAGCTGGAATCTCCTTCCTGGTGGCCCTTCAGCATCAAACTCTGGAAAAACCCTTTGGAAGCGAAACCGAAGGAAAACCCTGCTCCTCCCGATCCCAAAATCCAGGAAGGAATCCTGCTGAGAATTCCCGTCATCATCACCCACGGGCCAGATTCCAACGCCAAACCTGGAAAACTCACCGTGCTTTCATCCGGCTTGGAAATCAGGGATTGCAATTCCCAACTCGTGCAGCGCTTCCAATCGCGGGATGTGGATGAAATCCGCGTGCACACTCCGTACGAGATCAGCGTCCGGCAGAGATTCATCGGGAAACCCGACATTTCCTGCCGCCTCCTGGCGGCGCGCATGCCGGAGGCCATTCCCATCCTGGAGATGCAGTTCAGCAGGAAAATCCAGTTCTTGGAGGATGCGCTGGGATTTGCCGGAGCCGGGAAATCTCCCCAGGCGGATTTCTGGCGGGCAGGTGGGTGCTGGCGGGGAATTCCCGGCTCCGAAGGTTTCCGGGTGTTTGCCGAGGAATATTGCAGGGAATTCCTGGTGAGGAAAAATCCAGGGAATGAACTCCGGGTGGCTTTGGAGCCTTTGGTGCTGCTGCTTTTTCCTGGAGTTAATTCCCAGCTGGAAGGGAATATCTGATATCCAATATCCTGGGTCTCATGTCCAGTATCCAATATTTAATATACCCCATCCCATATACAATATTTAATAATTAATATCCCATATCCCATATTTAATATCCCATATCTGATATCCCATATCCCAAACCCAACAGTTAATAATCAATATCTCATATCCTGTATTTAATATCCCACATCCCATCTCCCATATTTAATATCCCACATCTCATATCCGATACTTAATAATCAATATCCCATATTTAATATCTCACATCCCATATCCGATGTTTAATAATCAATATCCCATATGCCATATTTAATATCCTACGTATCATATGCAGTATTTAATATCCCATATCTCATATCCCATATTTAATATCCCATATCCCACATCCCATCTCCCACATCCAGTATTCGATATTCAGTATCCTGTATCCAATATCCCATATCCAATATTTAATAATCAATATCCCATATGCCATATTTAATATCCTACGTACCATATGCAGTATTTAATATCCCATATCTCATATCCCATATTTAATATCCCATATCCCACATCCCATCTCCCACATCCAGTATTCGATATTCAGTATCCTGTATCCAATATCCCATATCCAATATTTAATAATCAATATCCCATATGCCATATTTAATATCCTACGTACCATATGCAGTATTTAATATCCCATATCTCATATCCCATATTTAATATCCCATATCCCACATCCCATCTCCCACATCCAGTATTCGATATTCAGTATCCTGTATCCAATATCCCATATCCAATATTTAATAATCAATATCCCGTATTCCATATTTAATATCCCACATACCATATTCAGTATTTAATATCCCATATCTTATATCCCATATTTAATATCCCACATCCCATATCTGATATTTAATAATCAGGATCCCATATTTAATATCCCATATCCCATACCCATATCCAGTGTCCCATATCCCATACCCAATAGTTAATAATCAATATCCCATATCCCACATCCCATATCCAGTTTTCAATATCCCATATCCAAGATCCCATATTCAATATCCAGTATCTGATATGCAATATTAAATATCCCATATCCAATATCCAGTGTCCCATATTCAACAGTTAATAATCAATATCCCACACCCTATATCCCATATCCAATATCCCATTTCTCATTTCCTATATCCAGTATTTAGTATCCTGTATTCAATATCCCATATCCCATATTTAATAATTAATATCCCATATCCAATATTCCATATGCAATATTCAGTAACCAGTATCCAGTATCTAATATCCAATATTTAATATCCCATATCCAATAATTACTATCCCACGTCCCATATCCAATATCCCATATCCAGTATCCCATAGCCAATAGTTAATAATCAATATCCTATGTCCAATATCCCATTTCTCATTTTCTATATCCAGTATTTAATATCCTGTATTTAAAAGCCTATGTTTAATGATCAATATCCCACATCCCAATATCCAATATTCAGTAATCAATATCCAGTATCTAATATCCAATATTTAATATCCCATATCCAATAATTAACATCCCACATCCCATGTCCAGTATCTGATATCTAGTCTCTCATATCCCATATCCAGTATCCCATATCCAACAGTTAATAATCAATATCTGATATCCCATACCCAGTAGTTAATATCCCATATCCCACATCCAATTTCCCATATCCCACATCCAATATCCCATTTCTCATTTCCCACATCCAATATTTAATACCCCGTATCCAATATCCCATATCCCATATCCAATATCCCAGTTCTCATTTCCCACATCCAATATTTAATACCCCGTATCCAATATCCCATATCCCATATCCAATATCCTGTATCCCACATCCAGTATTTAATAATCAATATCCCATATCCAGTTTTCTATATCCCATATCCCATATTCCACATCCAATTTCCCATATCCAATATTTAATATCCCATATCCAATATCCTGTATCCCACATCCCATATCCAATGTCCCATATCCAATACTTAATAGTCAATATCCCATATCCAATATCCCATTTCTCATTTCCTATATCCAGTATTTAATATCTTGTATTCAATACTCCATATCCCATATTTAACAATTAATATCCCATATCCAATATTCCATATTCAATATTCAGTAACCAATATCCAGTATCTCATATCCAATATTTAATATTCCACATCCAATAATTTATATCCCATGTCCATTGTCCAATATCCGATAGTTAATCAATATCCCATATCCAGTATCCCATTTCTCATTTCCTATATCCAGTATTTAATATCCAATATTTAATGTCCCATATTTAATAATCAATATCCCACATCCCAATATCCAATATTCAGTAACCAATATCCAGTATCTAATATCCAATATTTAATATCCCAAATCCAATATCCCATATCCAACAGTTAATAATCAATATCCGATATCCCATACCCAGTAGCTGATATTCCATGTCCCACATCCAATTTCCCATATCCAATATTTAATATCCCTTATCCAATATCCAGTATCCCATATCCAATATCCAGTGTCCCATATCCAATAGTTAATAATCAATATCCCATATCTCATTTCTCGTTTCCTATATCCAGTATGTAATGTCTTGTATTCAATATTCCATATCCCGTATTTAATAATCAATATCCTATATCCAATATCCCATATCCAATAATTAATATTTTATATCCCATGTCCAGTATCCCATATCCAGTGTCTAATATCCGATAATCAATATCCCATATCCAATATCCCATTTCTCATTTCCTATATCCAGTATTTAATATCCTGTATTTAATATCCCATATTTAATAATCAATATCCCACATCCCAATATCCAATATTCAGCAACCAATTTCCAGTATCTAATATCTAATATTTAATATCACAAATCCAATAATTAATATCCCATATCCCATATCCAGTATCCCACATCCAGTATCCCATATCCAATATCCACTGTCCCATATCCAATATGCAATAATCAATATCCAGTTTCTAATATCCAATAATTAATATCCCATATCCAATAATTAATATCCCATATCCCATATCCAATGACTAATTTCCGATAATCAATATCCCATATCCAATATCCCATTTCTCATTTCCTATATCCAGTATTTAATATCCCATATTTAATGATCAATATCCCACATCCCAATATCCAATATTCAGTAACCAATATCCAGTATCTGTTATCCAATATTTAATATCCCATATCCAATAATTAATATCCCATATCCCATGTCCAGTATCCAATATCCAATAGTTAATAATCAATATCCCATTTCTCATTTCCTATATCCAATATTTAATATTTCATATTCAATATCCCATATTTAATAATCAATATCCCATATCCAATTTTCTATATCCCACAGTGCCAAAAACGGCTGGAAAAACCGGAATAAATTGATGAGGAAATTATTTATAGAATAAAGATTTAGAATTAAATTAAATTTAAATTAAATTATTAAATTAATAATAATGCTAAAATATGTTAATTGAAATTCTAATTAAAATCAAGTAATTAAAATTATAATGAAAAGGAATTAAGATTATATTTAAAGTATAATTAAGTATTAAATATAAAATATATAATTAATATATAATTAATATAATTCTATATTAGATCATATTTAATATGAAATTATATTAAAACATAATTAAAATAAAATTATAATAAAATAAATAAAATGTTATTTTATTTCATTTTATATAATAAAATAAAAAATAAAACAATATTAATTAAAAGATAATTAAAATGCAATTCAATATAATTTTATTGCTAAGCATAATTATATAATTATATGTAAATTACTAAATATTTAAAATTAAAATTAAATATTCATTAATATATAAATTATTGATGTAAATCCATATCAATATGTAAATAATATAGTGGATTATAATTGATATACTATTAACAGCTATTAATAATAGTTATTAATATTAATGTTTTAATTATAAATAATTATAATATGTCATTATACTAATATTTATACTTAAAATAACTGTATTTTGTATAACTTTTAAGTATAAATTAATTTTAATTTATAGTTTAATAAAATTTTATTATTCTTAATATAATTAATATTGTTAACAGTTAAGTATTATTTAAATTAATGTAATTTTGTTATTTTTATTATTATATAAATTGATTAATTTATAAATAATTAATATATCCAGCAATTTAAGGCAGGGAATCTCCTGCTGCTGAGGAATTTTCCTGGAATTTTCCAACGCAACTCCAAGGAAAAAATCCCCTCCTGCTTTCCCGTTATCCCAAAAACTTCTCAATTCCCGATGGAATTCCAGAAAATAATTGGATCTCCAGCCTTTTTCCAGCGGTTTTTCCCTCTATTTTCCAGCTGCATTTTGCTCTCCTTCCCTGTTTAATTTGGAAAAATGTGGGAAGCAGAGGGGAACTGACTGAAATCCTGATTTTTCCAGGTTTTTTTTGGCGTTTTCCTTGGATTTGTCACAAGATGGCGCTCACGGACTGCGTGAGATCCTTGGGGATTTTTCCATGGAAAACAGATTTTTTTTCCTGATTTTTCCCATTCTTTTCAAATCAGGAGGGGAAAAAATTCCGATTTTTCTGTGCCCCTCTCTTTGTTTTCCAATACGGAATCGATCCAGGGATTTTTAGGATGGAAATTTCAGGGAAAATTATGGATTTTCCCTCAAAACTGCCACGATCCCGCCTGGATCCTTTGTTTCTACCAATCCTCAACTCAGTTTATCCAGAAATTTATGGAATTAAATTCCAAAAAAATCAACTCAGGCTTCATTCCGTGTGGAAGAGGAATTCAGGGATAATCTGGAATGATTTGTAGCTGCTTTGAGCTTTTTTCCAGCTGATTTTTTTTGGGAAAAATGTTGGAATTTTCATCATCGAGAGCTGTTTTGGAGCAGCTTGGATCCGATTTTATCCCGAAAAAGTAAAAAAAACCTGGATTCAAATCCTGAATTCCATCAGCAGTGGGATCATTCCAATCCTGCTTTTCCCAGAATTTATCCCTTGAGAGGAAGAATTTTTCCCGCTTATCCCTGGGACCAAATTCCTTGAGGGTTCTGATTTTCCGGGAATTCCCGGAAAAATGCGGCGCCTTTTTCTCTTTGAACCCAAATATTCCTGACTTTCGGCCACTTCCATCCCTAAAAATTTGCTGGGAATTCCAGCTCTCCTTCCTCATCCTTTCTCTGCTCTTTTGGCATTCCCGCATTTTTTTTCCTTTTTCTGGGAATTATTCCCGGCCTCGGTGGGAGGAGTGGGGCGGGAATGGCGGTTGGATCGATTTCCATGGAATAATCAACAGCTGCCCGTCGGTTTCCGTAGGGAATTCCATCATTCCCGCTTTTCCAGAGGGAAAGCGGGATGTGAATTCCCAATAAACAGCTTTTTCCCCCTTTGGAAAACAAGGATAACAAGGAAGAACTTCCGTGGTTTTGGCTTGGATGGGAGCTGAATCCGGGGGTGATCGGATCGTTGGATAATTCCAAGGATTTGGAATTTGTTGGGATTCTGGAGAGGGATTTAGGGTTTGGTGTTTCTGGGGCGGGGAAGAGCGGTTGGGGTAGCCGGGATATTGGGAGGGAATTCTGGGCTGGAATTCCCAGAGAATTCCCTGGAAGTGTCCAAGGAAAGCCTGGGATAGCAGGGATCCATCCCAAGCCAAATCCTGGGATAATCCCGTGCTATGGATCGGGAATGTGCTGCTGTCTCTCCGCTCCGATGGAATCCCCACATTCCAAACGATCCCGTTTTCCAAAGGCTCCTTCCGACAATAAATCCCGGCAACTTGGGCACCTCCAGGTGAAAAATTATCAGGAATACGCCTTGAATATTCCCGGAAAAACTGATTTGAATGGAAAAAACTGGATTGGGAGCCATCCCAAATTCCCAAAGCACAACTCAACGGCCTGGATCCCGGAATTCCGGGTTGATCCGTACGGATTCCTGGGAGGAATTCCATCCTCCCAGGCTGCTCCGACATTCCCAGGGATCCTGGAGTTTCTCTGGGAATTCTCAAGGCCTCCCCTTCACGGGCAGGAATTTTTCCTTCACATCCAAGCAGGGAAAAGCTGAGCTTGGAATTTCTCTGGCAGGCGGCGGATTCCCGGGAGCGGCGGCGAATCCCGGAATTCCGGCGGGAAGCTCCGAAGGGCAGGAGCAGCGGCAGCTGACAAAGGTTTCCCAGGAAGAGGTGAAGGAGATCCGAGAGGTAAAAATTGGGGTGGAATTTCCGGATAGGAATTGTTGAATTGATTTAATTAATTTGAGAATTAATGAATTTTTAATGGAATCGATTCCATGGATTTAATTAATTAGGAATTGTTCCTTCAAATATTCCTGGAAATCCATTTCTGTGTGAATATTCAAAATATTCCTCAAGCCTGGGATAAAAATTCCCGGATCATTTATTGGTGCAATTATTATTATTATTATTATTATTATTATTATTACTATTATTATTGTTATTATTATTATTATTATTATTATTATTATTATTATTATTATTATTAAATAATAATAATGTAATTAATTATTATAGTATTGTAGTATTATATTATTGATAGATACAATGATATGTATTATTAATAATAATATATATAGCTTCATTAATAATTAATTAACTGTATTATAAAATTAATTATAGTGTTACATTGTTATTAATATATGCTGTATACCATAGCTACTTAATCATATATTTAATTTAATTGGAAATCGTATTAATTATATTAATTAAATACAGTTTTATAAATTATAGACACAATTATGTATTATGTTTTGTGATTTGTTCTATATTATTTTATATTAGATATTATTTTATATTATGTACAATTTTATATTAGATATTAAATATTAATAAAATTTAATGTGATACTATTAATTAAATCAATTAAAATATACATTAATCATATAGATATTATCCTATCTAGTCCACTCCTTGGAATGTGACCTATGGAAAATCCCAATTGGAAAAAAAATTGAAAAAAAAATTGGAAAATAATAAATTTTAGCATTTTCCAACTTTTTTTGGGATTTTCCCTCTCTGGTGTTTTATTCCAGAAAAATCCATCAAATATTCCAGAAACTGGAGAGATTTTGGTTAGGAAATCCAGGTGGAATCCAAGGAATGAATGGATTTTCCCACAGATTTTGATGGGAAAAAATGAATATTCCAAGGATCCAGTGGGATATTTTTCCATCAATGGCTTTTTAAGGAATTTCTCCCGCAGAAATTGAAAGGAAAATTCCTCATTTGAGGTTTTTTAACCTCTGATATTTTCTTTTTCCTGAATTTTTTATTGAGTCCCTTCCCTGTGCATTTTATTTTATTTTATTTTATTTTATTTTATTTTATTTTATTTTATTTTATTTTATTTTATTTTATTTCATTTTATTTTATTTTATTTTATCTTGTTTTATTTTATCTTGTTTTATTTTGTTTTATTTTGTTTTATTTTATTTTAATTTTTTTCTTACTTTATTTTACTTTATATTACTTTATTTTACTTTGCTTTATTATTTTATTTTACTTTATTTTACTTTATTATTTTATTATACTTTTGTTATTTTATTTTATTTTGTTTTTTGTAGTTCTAATTTTTATTTTCAAATTTTATTTTCATGTTTCAATATTTTATTCTTTTTAAATTTATTTTATTTCATTTATTTTTCTTTTCTTTTATTTTTAAATAATGGGAAAAATCTGCCAGAGAG